ATTATTCGGTGAGTTGTTGGATCACAAATTTATAGAGGGCAATTTCAAAAACTTTGTTGTGAACTTCCGATATGGGATAAGAATTCCTTTTATCGGACTGTAATGTATTCAGTGTTCTAAAAAGTTCATCTACACCTAGGCTCAAAACTTGGGCAAAACAACTCGCTTCGAGCCTAGATGTTTTTTTTTCCAATTCCTAAACGGTTGAATTTTTCCTTCATTTCTTTCGTCTTCTGTAAACGCACTTTATTAGTTTTTTTTTCTTTTATTTGACTCTAGCTTATTGTTTGAAAAAAAAAAAAAAACTAAACAAAACTTTCATTCGAATATAGCCCTTGTTTGAACCCCATTTTTGGGGAAAAAATAAATTTTTGAATGGTGTATTGATGGGAAATGTGTGGTTAAAAAATAAAGAAAAATTTTAGATTTACGTGTAATATTATTTTATTGAAAAATGTGTGGTTGAAATGATGTTAAAGTAATGTAAAAAATGCATTTTTTTCCCCAAAGAATGGGGATCAAAAAAGGGCATAGTTTCAAGTTCTTAAAATATTCTATCTATACAAAAGTTAAAAATGACTTTATCTAAATAGTTAAATAAAGTTTTAAGTTATTGTGTTATCTATATTATGTAATTATAATTTTGAGACTCATTTTATTATAAACTCTAAAAGCATGTATAAAATTCCCATAAATTTATGAACTGTGCTACCTGTACAAGCCCTTTTGCACAAGGCTTGTACAGGTGCACACACATGGGGTGGACCCCACATGCAAAGGGGCCTGTGCAGGGGGCTTTTCCCTAAATTTATTAAGTAGGACTTCTCTAGTTGAAAATTGAAACTATGAAAAATATTCAAATTTTTACATCTCAAAAACTTAAAAATTATATAATTGACTAATGGTAGGAGTTATTAAGTAAATATTGTGTTTTATAATTTTAGACATTTAATATGTATTATTTTAATTATTAAATAATTTTTAGAGTGATTAAAAATTAAAATAATATTATAAATAAGAAACCGCTTTTTTACGTCTAAACCTCACCTAAACTCAACTTTGACTCCACGCCTAGCCACACTTTACGCTTTTCAGAACACTAGGTGTATTGTACTTTTAGTTTGGCATTAGTGTATTGTACTATAATCTAAAGAATTATTTATATTTTATTACCCTTCAACTATGTATATTTAGCCCCTGTTTGGTGCACATTATTTGGGAAAATAATACATTTTTTCCATCAAATCAACCTACAATATTTGACTTTAACACTCTAAGGTAAGGCCCATGATGTGATGTTTAAAATGCATTTTTGTTGAAAAAATGTGGAACAAACAGACTCCTAGTAGGTGAATGATTGAATTTTTTAATTATTATAATTGATTAATATCAACGGATTTTTCATCGGTAATATGAATTAATCTTCATCTACTAAATTTCTGTTGGTGAAGAGGCAGAATTTTTTATTTTTATTTTTTTGAAAAAATTAATTATACTTCACCTACAGATATTCCGTAGGAGAATGTTTGAGTTTTTTAATTATTAAAATTGAGGCCCTGTTTGATATCAATTTTTTTCAAAATGTATTTTTCTCTTTCTTCTTTTCAACTACACATTCTTTATTAAAATAATATTACACATAAATCAAAAACTTTTTCTTATTTTTCAACCACACATTTCATATCAATTTACTATTCAAAAATGCATTTTTTCATAAAAATGTCTTCCAAACACCCTCTTAATAATAGCAATGGCAATTTCGTTAGTAATATGAACTATTCTTTAGGTTGACACTTCTTTTTTTTTTTTATTTAATTTTTTTTTTAAAGTTGAATTACACTACCTACGGAAATACTGATTGTAAATGGTAAGTATGTTAAACAACATTAGGCACTGAATATCCATTGGTAAAGAACTATCACTTACCAACGGAAATTTCGTTTGTAATTTTCATAGTTAAAAGTTTTATATTTTACTAACGGATAATTCTTTTTTAATTACCAACAGTTATAATTATCCGTAGGTGAAAAACTGATTTTTAGTAGTGGGATTTGCAATGAAAATATGAATGACGCGAGGGTGACGGATTAGTGAATTGAATTTAGTTGCTCGGATTGAAGTATAAGATTTTAAAAATGCTTTATTAAACTGGGGTATAAAATAATGATTGATGTAATAATTATGAATAAAAAGATAATATAATCAACACGGATGTGTTATTTAACACAATCATGTACGAATCAAGGAAGTGACAGTAGCAAATAGGAATATGTTTAGGGGACAGTCAAATTTAGAATAATCAATCTCGACAACTTTTGATGCTTGGGGCAAGAAGAAACCAAAGAGAAACGTAAATTTTCCACTCGTGAGGTTGTTTTTTTTTTTGTGTCACATCTGTTTAATTGATTCGATATTTTATGTCCATATTCGTTTGGAGGGAGCAAGGTGAAGTCAGTTTCAGAATTTGTTGCTGAATCCTACACCAGCATGAATGTATCTTCCACTTAAAAGTGCACATGCAAATCAATTGTTTTTTTGCTCTTAGGTGGGTGCACGCTCGCATGGCCATACCATGACATGACAGCTTGTCTCTGGAATCCAAAATATAAGCACGGGCAACTAATGATAAAGTCGTTTTACTTTTACATGGATAATAATAACAGTGTTGAAGATCAAAATTGAATTGGTAATTTCCATTCAGCTTAAGAGAAATTTGTTTAGATAATTGCTAGAATGCTCTAAGGAAAGAGTAATTTCCATTACAAGTATTTTCGGTGGCATATTGCCTAGAGTCACTTAGCTTGGCTCTTTGTAGAAAGCCATTGCCCTTATTTATAAGACTCCAATCAATAGCTTGTTGCTCTCTATCCCATCAATCGACTATGTTGACTTCGATCTGTATGCTAAAAAATCTGTTTCAAGAGATTCGGTTGGATGTTGAGTTCGATCAATCGGACTGTCATTTAGTCTGGGACTTAATTGTGGTTTAGATCATGATTGTCCGTTGCCCAGGCAATGATTACTCTTCTAATTGATAGAGGTGAAGTGTTGATGTTAGAAATGACACTTGTCCTCTTAGGATTGGTCGTTTGAGAGGTGTTGATGTCGCTAAGAATCACCTTTTTGGTGAGTAACATTGATGTTTACATAGGACAGTGGAGTGTGGCCGAATTCAATAGATGAGCTTTTAGTTTGAACTTGTACTGTGATATGGGATTTTACCCTTGAGCTCCTTCTGATCCTTCTTAAAGTGTGTCCAAGGTTCTTAGTCTAACAAAAACAAGGCTTGCTTGATGGCCAACCTCGACTCATCACAAGCAAGGTTGAGCCCAATTCAATGTTCAGTGAACCAAGTTTAGTTTTATAGGTTAATTGTAATGGCAATCACCAAGATTTCACCCTAATTTAATTGGCTCATTGAACTACAATGGCAGAAATCATGTCACTTAACTTCAATTTAGCATCAATTGAAGTGGAAATTACATAATACGGTGGGGTAGCCTATCATTACTAGCGGTTGGGTAGCCTGCTTGGCTTAGTACGGTGGCTGGTGTTGAGTTATTTTAGTTAGGTTTGTTGATTTTTGGAGTGGTGATGGTGGTTGTTATGGTGTTGTGGCCGGGGGTATTGTTTGGAACCAAGTATTGTGATGGATCAGGAGCGGGTGTTTGGTGTCTGTGATTAACTATTTGGTTCTCTGAGATTGATTATTAATCTGTGACCTTGAAATTTGATCATCTTGTGACTAAAAAAGTATTATGTGATATCAATTTTGAAAATATGTGACATGCAACCTAAATTTTTTTGGATTTGTGACAAATGACATAAACTGTGACCTATAATTTTTTGATCTATGACCTCGAAAATATGTGACCAATAAAAGTTTTGATTTGTGACCTCGAAATAATATGTGACCAATTAAATTGATGATATGTGACATATAAATTAATCCGTGACCTATAAATATGTCTATGTGACCATTAATTGTATAATTGAGACTTTTATTATATTTAATTAATAAATATTTTTAATTAATTAGATAAAAACCTGATTTTTTAATTAGTGAAACTTAACGCCTGATTTTTGAATCGTGCATAGTTAAAACTTGATTTGTAAATTTTTCCCTCAACTAAACGACTTTGTTCGTGCAATGGTTGTTAAAACCATAGTTATTAAAATCGGACCAGACCGATTGATCCAGCTTGAAAATCGGCAAACAGGATTGTGATCAAGTCCAGTTGTTATAATTGGTGCATTTAGCAAGTGAATCAGTCAAAGATCGATTGAACCGCCCAATGTCATGGTTGAATCGAACGGGTTTAGATGAACTTGGAACCAGTTCACCCTTGAACTGGTTTATGACAAAGTCAGTTGCAATATTTTTCTTCAATTTGCAAAGACAGAGATTTGAACCTTGGCATCTGAAGTGAAATATCGCATCCATAACCATTATGGCAACATCTCAACTCGTGTTACAATAGTGAACTAATAAATATATATTTTATATATAGGAAGATTGTTGTCCTTCGTATTAAAAAAATATCTTTTAATCAAAATGATGACATAGTAATGACCCATCGATTGAACCACCAACCCACCAGTTGAATCATGACCCAGTGACCTAATGATTTTTTTCTGGATCGGGTCTAATAACTATGGTTAAAACTAACTTTTGCATACATGACAATCCATATGGACTTAGTTGTACTAACAATCATCCAACTTTTACTGTAACTGTAATTAGATCATTGAACTTCAATTAACAATAATTAATTTGGTCGCTTAACTTTAATCTATTCTAATATAAACCAAAGCACTCTGTTTGGGCACCGCACAAACTCAGTGGTTAATTATTGTTAACAATCATCACAAGGAGTAATGGTATAATTATTGTTAAAATTGAAATTAATTTAAGTTCAATAACCAAATTATAGTTAGAGTGAAAGTTCTTTATTCACTTTCCTTTCATAATGGGAAGAAAATTAGATGGGCTCTTTACGTAATTAAGAACTAGTAAAAATTCAGAATATGAAGATTGTGTACAATATTTGAGTACTCTGATCTGAAGTAGACATACATATGACATATACCTGTGTATATGCTAAAATAAGAATTTTTCTTGTTATGATCTGACAAGGAATACACTTAGCTCTTGTCCAGAACTTCCGACCGGATTAATCATATGGAAGGACTCAGAGTCAGGTGACCCAATTACTCTATCGAAGCTAGCTCTAAGGTACAGGAGATCGTCACCGTTAAAATCCTCCCCCGATTTCGGTAAAACCCCAGCCCCAACAGAGATGGAGTGCATGAGCTTCAGCGCGCTGGCGTCATTTTCGCTCATCTCACGCCTGACGGCAAATCCAACTTTCCGGCCGTTGCAGTACATGGACCAAACCGGAACTTTGTAGAGGGAGCCACACCCCCGGCGCCCGCTGCACTCGAGAGCTATTCTGAGGAGTCCATGCTGCATCTCTCGGGCGAGATATGATGTGACAACTGCGAATTCCAAGAGCAAGATTGGACTGCTCTTGGTGTCTTGTTGGATGCAGAAACTAACTCTGCCTTTTCTGTACCCGAAAAAAGTGCCGGTGACCGTACTACAACTGTCGTCGAAGAGAGTTTCCGATTGTTGGAAGGCGCAGCAAGCGGGGACCATGCACTCCATCAAAGTGCGAAAGGAGCGCCGGAATCTAACTTCCCTTCCGCAGTCGACCGAAGTAGGTGTGTCCATAATGTTCAATTGTCGTCTCATCATGGTACTACTTCACTAAAATATCCTAGACAATATATGAATATTTCCTGTGGTTTTAGGATTTAGGACACAACTTGAAAGAGATATAGGAGAAGGCGTAGGGGGTATAGCGGTTTAAATAGATGATGAGATTTTAGCCCGGTTTGATGCCCCATTAGGGCCATATTTGATTCACGTTCTTTCAAAAAATATATATTTTTAAAAAGTAATTTGACATCATTTTAATCACACATTCTTCAATAAAATAATATTACACGTTAATTCAAAATTTTTCTTTATTTTTTAACCATATATTTCTTATCAATATACTATTTAAAAATACATTCTTATTCTTATAAAAATAATATAACTCAAACAAGGGCTAAAAGGAGCTTTTGGGAAAATGAGTTTGAAATAGTGATTTTTTTAAAGAATATGTTATTAAAAAGTAAGAATATATTTATGATTCACGTGTAAAATATTTTTGCCACTGTTTGATGGCCATTAGTTGATCAAAATAATGTTTTGAATAATAATAAAAAAAGAGTTTTGAAAAATTGGATGTGAAACGGGGGCTTATTGTGAGAATGTATGTTTGAAAATAGAATTTACAAAAAAAATTAATAATAATAATAATAAAATTAGAGAATGATAGACAAATAGGGACTTAATCAAATGATTTAAATCAATTTTGTTCGTTGGGTTAGATGTGAGTCGCGTGGGGCTCGAAATTGTGAACAATAATTCAGTGCCCACGAGGGGTTGCTGGATCATGATTTTGATTTCACTTTTGAGAGGCATGCACCTCCAATATCTATCTGCATGGAATCAACTACTTATCAACACAGAAATGAATTAAAACCATGTAATCATATCGAAGAGTATTTTTATTTTTGGCCCACGCTACTGATTGAAAGAACTATGTTTTGCACGCCTCCCCTAATTATCGTATAATTTATGCCTCTCCCACTACTTTTTTTCATTGAATTATTCTGTAAATAATTTTGAAAGTTCTGTTTTCAAATTTTTTATTATTATATGTATAAATTGGCAAGAACATCTTCTGCTTTTGTGTGGAAGAAAACATGTTTCTGTCTCTCTTTTTTTCTTTACAGAGAAACCACAAACTCGTAATACCATTCGATGGGGGGGCAAAATTTGGTAGAGCAAAAGATAGCTTTTCCCGTTCTCTAAGGCTTTTCGTTTCTGGAATGTGTAAACAATTCAGCACCTTCTCATTCTTTTACAAGAAAAGCCAGTTTTTATGCTTGTTGAAGCAATATAGTGGGCAAATCCCCATTACTAGTCCCTTTTTAAAAAAATTATAATAATAAATCCCCATTAGAGCCTTTTTTCTTTTTCTTTTTCTTTTGTGTGTGTCTGCTCATATTTTTTGACGTGAGAACCAAATATTTTCTTTTATAAGTTCATGTCTGGATAAGCTCGAAATTGTGTTGAATTATAGACCATGTATGGTTCAGCTTAAAATTTTAATTAAAATCAAAATCAAAATCAATAATAAATTTTAACGACACATTTCATGAGATCCACAATTTTTCAACCACACATTCTATCAACTTTATTAAAATCTATTAAAATTTTGATTTTTGTCGGACCAAACATGGGCATAGTGAAATATTTATACAAGATGATGTTGCATGAACATGCAAGTAACTCTTAAGGAATATTATTATGACATTACATATTCCCACAATACCAGGGTTGGGAAAATATCAATTTGGGAAAGATTATTGGTGATTGGTGTTACGCACAATAAAATTAGTAGTAAAGAAATACTAGAAATCAATATCTCCCAAATAACTCAAAAGAGTGGTATATTTCTTCATTTCCCTTTGTTCAAGATCGTAAAAGTACCCTAATGCTTAGAAGATAGAAAATTAATAATAAATTAAACAAATTCCTCGACTGTTAAAGTAGCCAAAAAAAATTGAGAAAAATGATATAAAAAATGTTAGGTATTTGTTACACACACCCCTTTTATTTCTTTCTTTGCGTCTCTCATGGCTTCTCTCTCTGTGTTTGCTCTTGTGCTCCATTGGCTGTCATTTTTGGCGCCTTTCGTAGGACCCTCTCTCTGTACTTCTTCAAGTACTACTTGTCGACTTCCGAGCTTCTGGTTTTAGCCCCTGTTCTGTGTGATTTTTCGAATTCCTTTGTTGCTACCCCTTCACGTCATTGTCCATGTGACTTCTTCGTGATCCTTGGGGCTTTACTGAGGTTTTGAGTGTTGTCACCTTGTGTGTTTTGAATCATTGATTTGAGTCATGTACAATCCACTTTTGGTGCCAATCTTTATGAAATCGATAGGGAAGTGTGTATATTCATCCATAGCATTTGATCCCATTGTTATTAATTGATTTTTAACTTACTTTGTGTTTGTTTGATCAATTGAAGGTTTAATGAACCCCACAAACTAGTATTAGAGCCTCTAGTGGCTCAATTTATTGCTGAATTTCAATTCTATCGACTGAAAACTGAAATTGCTGTGATTGAGGAGTGTGTATGATGTGCAATTGAGGTGTAGGTTTGCTAGTTTTCCAATAAGGATTTGAATCCTTAATTAATTTCAAATCTCTCATTGTTACAGACCACAGATATGTCTACTCTGGTAAATTGGCCAAAATTCTTTAAATTACTATAATAGCAAGTCATCGTGTGGGGTGACCTATAGGATTGTAGCCTTGCTTGCTACTGATAGTTAGGACTATTTGTCTGAATTGTGATATTATCATTTTTGTAGCTATATTGATCCTTGTTTAATTGTCGTATTGTTGCTGAGCTATTTGTGTTTAGAATTATTACCTTTGACTTTACCCGTTCGAAAATTCCCTTGAGATTAAGGTTCGAATCTCACAAAAATCCTGAGAATTTAGATCAATATAAACTAAAATTTATAGGACATTCTTTGTGTGGTTGTCCCTGTGAATGTTGCTTACGGGCTACGTATCTTATTTTTTAAGATGTCCGCGCACCATTTTGGCTTGGATATCCGTAATAGTAAAAGTGATTTTTCTATTTGAAAACAAAAGAGAAAGAGACTTTAATACAACAAAAAGTTTCAAAGTCCTTGATAATTCGTTTGCATTAATTATGATTGAGGATCGAAAAAATGAGTTTAATGAACTTGTTTATACCTTTATTATCAGACACTTTTCTGATTCTGTTTTGGAAAAGTTTGGCAAACATAATACTGTCGAAAAAGCTTGATGGGCTTTATTTGACTCAATCCATGCCCAACAAACTTTTCTTACTCGAAAACTTTTTCAGTTTCAAAATTGATCCCTCAAAAGATTTAGACGACAACTTTGACGTTTTCAATAAATTGGCTTAAGAAATTATTAATTGGTTTTTGATTAATATAAGGCAACTAATCTTTTGAATGACATTCTTGATAACTATAAGGAAGTCAAGAATGCAATCAAATATGGGAGGAATTGAAAATGAAGACTAAGGATAGTGAAATGAAAGTTAAAAGAAACCAAAGAAATATATGAGAGATCCACCAAATAAGAGGGTAGAACTTAGTTTATGGGTGGAGAGGGGCAAAATGGTTGTGGCAAGAAAAATGGGAGGGTAGATCTAAGTCATATGGGAAGGCTAAGGAAAAAAAATGTTATGGTTGTGGAAAACTAAGACGTCATTAATGAGTTCCATTAAAAGAAAAATAAGTTGAGAGATCATGTGTGTGGTGAATCCAATGGGGCAAACATTCTTATCCAAAGGGATGAACTTGGTAAGGTTTACATGCTCTTAGCTACTGAACCGACTGAAATTAACTTGCCTTTTAACTCCCATATACATGAGTGGATTCTTAAATCCAGTATTTCTTTTCATGTTACATCAAATAACTTGTGATTTGATCATTTGCATTAGTGTAATCATGGACATGTAATTGCATGGGACGGAGTGACATATAAGATCATAGGTTTTGGTAGTGTGAAAGTTAGGTTTGACTGTGGCTTTGTGGACACACTTAAAGAAGTTAAGTACATTCCACATACGGGTAGGAATCTAATTTCTATGGAAGAGTTAAAGCGTATAGGTTTCACTAGTGCACATGGTGTCAACGACATGTGTTTTTTTGTAAGAATCAGGTATCTGACATGCCACTTTGCAATCATTTTGTGCTTGGTAAACATCTTAGGATGTCATTTGCATGTAACACACAAGATCTAGAGTGTTAAAATACATTCATACTGATTTGCAGGATCTGGGAAGTAAGTAACAAATATTTTTGTCTGTTATTGATGATTTCTCCTATGTATGTGGGTTTATTTGCTGAAAGATAAATCTGAAACTTTCGTGAATTTTAAATATTAGAAAGTTAAGGTGAAAAACCATATAAGTAAGCGTACTGATAATGGTATCGAGTTTTGCAATGCTAAATTTGATAATTTGTATAATGAATTCAGCATCGCTAGATATAGGAATGTACTTTACATTCCCAGCAAAATGGGGTTATTGGAATGATAAATCGTACTTTGCTTGATAAGATGTATGATGTTAAGTTCTGGTGTGCTTGGGTCGTTTTGGGGTGAAGCTATTATGACTGCGTTATCTGATTAATATGACTTCTTTTGTTACTTTTGTAAGTGTTATGCCCTAAGTCCAATCAACATTGGACATAAATTCTTTTAATATATAATTAATGCGATTCAAATCTTCGTAATTTGTTAATTACAAGGAGTTGTGATTGTTAGATACAAAATTACATATGTTGAATCTTAAATCATTCGTGGTCGTAAGTAATAACCCGTTTCGTTATTACGGATAGACCATTACGTGTGACGTTTCTTACTTGTGAAGCAAGTAGCTGATCTCACAAGTTAAAGTGTTGCGACACTTAAATGAATGCATGGACGTTTTGTTATAAGACAAAACATTGGAGACCCACCGAGAGATTTCACATAGATAACTATCTGAGTGTCGGTGGTTAATCTCTAACGTTCGGAAATAGAATTGGTCCTTTGACTTGAGGTCGTCATGGTACCTTAATGAGGATAGTCATACTTTGATGGTGTTGGATGTTGCTCTACCAAGAGCCACTAATACGGCATCGTTCGAGTATGTCAAGAATCGTAGGAAGGTTGTGAAT